GTAGCGCGCCCCTCAGGCAGGGGAGCGCCGGCACAGGTCAGTAGCGCGCCCCTCAGGCAGGGGAGCGCCGGCACAGGTCCCGGCATGGGTCGGCCGGGTAGGGGAACGCAGGCCCACCCTACACCACTGCATTCCAGCCCAGGGCCCTGACAGTGGCAGGACGAGGGTCCCACCACTGGGTCAGCGGGGTCCTTCCGCTATATAGACTCACCACTGTGCAGCTCTGTCCCTGGGCTACTTCCTACCCGATTGCTCGTCCGAATCCCTCTGGTCCCGCCAGTGCGTCTGGCTAGTCCGCTGTTGGCAGCTCCAGCTCCCCCTCGGGCTCAGGCTCCTCCAGCTCCTCCCGGTCCTTGGCTGCTGGCAGCTCCAGCTCCCCCTCCGTCTCCTCCAGTCCCTCTGGGTACTCGGCAGCAGGCAGTCCTGGCAGCCCCAGTCCGTCCTCCAGGTGAGGTTTCCACTGGTCCAGGACCTCCCCTGGTGTGACAGCAAGGTCTGAAGGGAGCAGTCTGCATCTGCCTCCCTCCCTGGTGCTGCCCTGACTGAGCTAAGGGCCGCGCCCTTTATACTTCCTGTTCCACCCCTCCCCTTCCGGGGGGTGGAGCGAGCTTGGCCTGGCCCCGCCCACTCAGGCTGAGAGAGCGGCCCTTTACCCTCAGGTTCGGAGGGCAGCCACCCTGGCTCCCTACATATATGTATACACGGTAATTACTGAAATGTAGATATTTTAACACCTTAACTTAGCAGTTCATCTAGCCGTGGTCTATGTATCCATTTCATAGCATGTTTAGAGTCCCATAACGAATTAACAGGAGAATAAATGCTATTTTTCTCTGACTCCCATAGGCTGTACTAGCTGCGATTGTAATGGTCAACATGTTCCCATTTCTTGAAAAATTTATGGACATCCCCACCCTGTGGAGACAGGATAAGTATCATTTTGTAAGTGGGAAAGACTCACACAGGGATTTGGGGCGGGGGAGTGGGGAGGTGCTTTCAGGGAAGGATGCAGAGCAAACAATTCAGGTGCTCTTGGAAAGATGGTCCTCTGATGCACAGAGGTTGAATTACTGAAAGGGGCTGTTTGATGCAGTGAAATAGTTTTACAAATTAACTTGCAATTATTTCAATATAGGCCAAATTGCTTATGGCCTCAAAATGTTAGGGGAGGGAAACTGTTCAGGTACTATGTGGGTGACTTCAGGCTAGTAGAGCTGGATGTTTGTAAGGAAACAGTTCTCACCTGCACCCAAGCCAGCCCACGTCCTCTTTCACCTATAGATTACTTTGTATCCTTTTTTTTTTTTATAAAAAGAACAAATATATTGAACAAAGTTTCTCCCAAAATAAAATATATGTAATGAAAAAATCAACAAAATTATCTCCACATATGTTTGAAGTAGACAAATGTTGAATGCTCAGATCCCACAGTGATGAGCATGGTATACATACCTATCTGATAAATAGATAAACTAGGTGTGATACCTCCTTTAGTGTTCTGCGTGTTAAGGAAAGGAAACTTAGCTGAGGAGGTTTGCTTCCAGATCATACATCCTGTTTTCACTACTCTTGGCCAATGCTGTGGTTTTGGTAGCTGGGACAAGAGAGGCCCATAACTGTAGTAGCCTGTTTATATATAAACACTATAAAACTTGAGTAACCTACTCCTTGGCAAGGCTTATAGCTGGAAACAAGATTTTCTAAAATTCTTTGAACCTAGATCATTTCCAGCTGAACTAAAACAGCTTATTAAAACATTTCAAAAATATATTAGCTGAACTGTAATTTATTCAAACACATACTGGTGTAAAAGCAGCCTGTAACCTATAGCCAACCTCTCACTTTAAATGCAGGATCTGCTTTTAAAAAGTGTTAGCCAAGTAGATCCACACAGTAGGTGGAAGTGTGCTCTTGGTGACTGAACTACTGAACCTATAGGAAGCAGTGTCCATTGGAGCCATGCTGTCTTCCCACCATGTGTGGACACACATCCCCTCTCCCCTCATGCAGGATTCTGAGCTCAGAGGAGCATGACCCCAATTGCCATTTGATACCTTCACATCACTGAAACCTGTTAAGAAGGCTTGAGATTCCAACTGAGCATCAACTTTTCATCCTCCTCAGATTGTGGAGACTTTGGTGTTGACCTCTGTCAATACTCCCTGGAAAGGATGGAGCATCTGGGTCACTTGTGCCTCCATTTCCAACGAGAGTGGTTGTGTTTTCTTCAGTTGACCAGAGCAGGGTTCTTTCCCCTGTTACTCCACTCCAGGATTTAGCACATGAGCGCCTTCTGGGAGAGACTGGGTCTTGGTACCCAGGGACTCAGTACAGTTTTTCTGCCACTGGGGATGGCGCTCCAGACCTGTGTTGGGAATTCTCAGCACCCTGTCTCAGCCAGGCCTTCTCATCCTTCTAGTCCTCTTGGTGTAGGGCACAATTATGTATGCAAACTTGGATCCCCTTGTAGTTGCACATAACACTGCCACTGGTGTATTATGGGCTTTGGATTCTGCATCCTCAAATGTATGGTGCCTGTATATTTGGTGGAGTAGGGGGAGTAAATCTATCAGCATTGGTAGCTTGATTCTATGGTTGAGGTTCTGAAGCCCAGTGCTTTGATCCCTGTCTGTCACCACTTCCAGGGTAGAAATGTTCCAGGAGTGAAGTTGAGACACTTCACCTGCTATCATTTCTAACCTCTACTTTCATACAGCAACCAAATGAGCTGCAGAGAAAAGCCAGCCAGAGATGCCATGTGGTAGGACCAGCAGCAGCCAAAGCAGGGACCTTCTGGCCTTTGGACAGTCCAATCACAACTATAGAATGTTTACTGACTTTCTCTGCCCTATGCTGATTGGCTATTTGCTCCAGCCCTCCACTCTCTTCTCACAGTATCTTCACCTCAGCTTCCCTTCACACCTTTTCCCCTGCCCTGTCCCCTTCTCCTTCTTTCCTCTCCCTTTTCTTTCCATTTAGCTGATCCCCTCCTAAGTAAACCCACCAAATCTCCCCTCTCAAAAATGTTGCAGAACCAACATGATGTTTGCAGCCATCACATAGTTCATTCTGCTGTGTTTGTGTAGCGCCTAGCATGTGTTCCTGGGCCATGACTGGGGCTCATAGATGCTGTTGTAATACTACTACTACTACTAATATAATAATAAATCTAGCTTAAGAACATAAGAATGACCGTACTGGGTCAGACCAAAGGTCCATCCAGCCCAGTATCCTGTCTTCTGACAGTGGCCAATGGCAGGTGCCCCAGAGGGAGTGAACCTAACAGGTAATGATCAGGTGATCTCTCTCCTGCCGTCCATCTCCACCCTCTGACAAACAGAGGCTAGGGACACCATTCCTTACCCATCCTGGCTAGTAGCCATTAATGGACTTAACCTCCATGAATTTATCCAGTTCTCTTTTAAACCCTGTTATAGTCCTAGCCTTCACAACCTTCTCAGGCAAGGAGTTCCACAAGTTGACTGTGAGCTGTGTGAAGATAGTGCTTGATGGTGCTGCCCAGAAAAGTTCAACTGAAAAGTCATTAGGGCCTTTCTGAGGTTTACAGTAGCTCTGCCTAAGAGAAGCCATCCCAAGTACATTCATCAGTACAGGATGCAGCTGAATTATTGGTTTGACTGAGTGAATGCTGCTGTCTTTGGTGGCAGGTTACATGGGGGCACTGTTTGTGTGTTCTACTTGTTTGAGCTTTTCAGCAGCTAATATTGTTCTCCCTGCCTCTTATTCAAAGGTTATTTGGATTGTGACTTTTGCAGCCGTTCTGTGTCTTGGTCTCGATATCGGCTTGGTCATCGCAATGGGATTCACCTTCTTCATCATCACTGTTAGGTCACACAGGTACCAGGTCTTGTTACCCTCAGAGCAGGGAACTAAGTTTACCTAAAGTTGTTATTTTGGGAATAGCAGTATGTCACAGTCCAGTACAGAAGTGGTTTTGTGCTTGTGGGGTAAACCCTTCGGTTAATGTTTTTCTCAGGTCTAATGATTTCCCATCTGTGCATGAACTGGTACATTTTTGGGAATTTAACCTCCTAGCCTAGCTGATGGACTATCCATTTGAGCCTCTGGAAAGGGTGCCTCTGTCACCTGACTGAAGACCATTTATTGTGACAGTAACATCAACCAGGAGATTCAGCGAACTGCTTGCTTTAATCACCTACCCTTCATACACAGTCTTCCATAAGAATAAGGTGGTACACTGTGTCCTCATTCCAAGATTATCCCTAAAGTGGTCATTGATATTCACCTGACTCGGTCCAGCAACGTATCTTTCTTCTCACTAAATGCATTCACTGCCAGGGGAGATCAGCTTACTCAAGTTCGACCCTTCTCTACTCCTGTAACAGAACAAAACTCTTCTGTAAAATCTCCCCGTGTGCCCTCTCCCCCACCCAGTTATTTAAGGTTTACATTGATAGACTTATGGGACAGATTATTTCTTCCCAGTGATTATCAAAGGACATTAAATTCTGTACAGAGACATGCTATGAGCTAGCAGGTATCCCAGTCCTTAAAAGTATCAGAACACATTTATTGAGTCATAGAGTTTAAGGCCAAAAGGGACCACCAGATCCTCAAGTTTGACCTTCTGTATATCCAAAGCCACTAAATACCATCCAGCCACCCCCATACCAGGCTAACAACCAGAATTAGACTAAAGTATTACAGCCCTCAGTTGAATTGATCCAAGGTGGCTTCTAAGGCATTCCTTCAGAATGTCACAATTATGAAAATATTTCTGTGAAGCATCATTTTCGTGACCTAGCCTTGACATCTAATGAGCACTTTGGGAGAGTAGTTCTGGATAACTGTTCATTTAAATATCCTCCCCATTCATACCATGTTGGCAGTTTGTTACTGCTTGTGAATTTCCCAAAAGTGGGGACGTGTACTGACAATACTGTAAAGCATGAGAAAAGTTACCAGGAAATGGATTTCTTTGAGTACAGTGTCACTACACACTGACACTAGCCACGCTCTAGATCAGGGGTCGGCAACGTTCGGCACGCGGCTCGCCAGGGTAAGCACCCTAGCGGGCCGGGCCAGTTT